CTATTGCAGGGGTATCAGACTCACCTGGGGACCTGGGCTGGATCCAGAGGCAGGGCTCCTTGCAGGCTGGATCAAATCTGAGGCATGAATGCTGCTGCAGTAGTTCTGTGGCAGCCACGTGGGGTCCAGCAGGGGTGGATGCAGAAGTGGGGTAGTGCAGGGTCCAGCAAAGGCAAGGGTAGTACAGGGTCCAGCAGCAGTGAGGGCAGTACAGAGTCTGGTGGGAGTGGGGGAGGCAGGTGTGCAGGGTCTGGCAAGGGTGGGGGCAGGAGCAGGAGCAGGGTGCTGCAAGTTCCCATGACAGTGTGGAGCAGTAGAAGCATGGGGTCAGGTGGTGGTGAGCCAAGCTTACCACTGATGGCCATGCCCAGTGGGATTGCAGGAACCACCTAACTTCTGGTGTCCTCTGGGAGCCCTGCGGGCTGGATAAAAAGGCTTTACAGACAAAATTTGGCCCACAGGCCATAAGTTTAATGCCCCTGTTATACTGGATGTGGCTGCTCAGCACCTCTGAGCATCATGCTAAAATGCACAGGGCCTGCATCCCCTGAACTTATTTGGAAAAAAGACTATTGTTTTCAGTGCAATATACCACAAGTTTATCATTGTTAATACTCTACACTTTTAATAGGTATAGGCTGGTAACATATGAAATTTGTGCAGCTCTTACTTGGTTCATTGCTGTGTTTTTTATTCCAGTTTAATTCTGTTCATTTCCATAACCCAAACTGTTACACATTTAATTTATTCCATATTTTTATCTGCTTTTTAGAGCTAACCTAGATTGGATGGTTCTTTTAAAATTAATTTAAACAATTGCAAGAGTTTATTTGTGAGTCAAGGAGGACACATTAGCTTTTTAATTGAGATTTATAAATGTTTAACCAGCATGAGAAATTGTCTTAAAATAAATCTGTCCCTAGAGCTTTGAATAGGTTGGTTGGCCCAGTCTGTAAGAGATGCTTTCAGAACTATTCAATAAGAAGTAGAAGAGACCTATTTCATCCCAGATGTGAAGCCACTAAAAAATGAAAATCTCATCAGAAATTATCATGGATCATTATTTTTTATTTTGAACAGCAATTTCTTATATAGTGCTCTTCATCCATAAATGTCAAATGCTTTGCAAAAGATGCTAAATATTATGGAGGTGAAGTCGCACAGTGGGTCATTGGTTGAGCTGGAAATAAGACACAGTTTTTCTGCATTGTTTTTGACTGTTTCATATCCATATTCTAAAAGTGTTTCAAATGAAAGACAATCTGTATGTATCTTAATACTTTATCTCTGATTTAGATGCTGATGGAAAAATGAGTGTGAAGTTTGGCGTGCTCTTTGCTGATGAAAAATGTGCCAACCTCTTTGAAGCCCTAGTGGGAACTCTTAAGGCTGCAAAACGAAGAAAGATTGTTACTTACCCAGGAGAGCTGCTTTTACAAGGTGTTCATGACAATGTTGACATTTTATTATTGCAGGACTAATGCAAATTGCACTTATTCTATGCATTAGTTAATATGTTTCAGGTAAAATGATTTGCAGAATTTTCAGATCAATGGAAATCATGCTAATGTGTTTGAATGCAATTTTCTATATCTTTATAGTCACAAGGAAACTGCTATTTTGGAAATCTATTTCTTTTTGTATTCTTTCTGTGAACAGTACTGTACTGCAAGGTAAAAGATCCAACAACTAAAATCTCAGGTAGTACATTTTTTAAAATGTATCCAATGGTTTTTGTCACAATATAAAACGGAGACGAAACTGGAAATATAAGTGTTTACAATTCAAAATCTGCCACAAAATATAAAATAAAATCATATGCTTAAATTCATATAATTGTTGCTATTCTTTGTAGAAAACAGTGGAATGTATTGCAACTAATTGCACTAAAATCAGCTACTGAGATGGAAATAGCTGTGCATTATTATACTCCTTAGTTCACCATGGGAGATGGAAAAAGAAAAATGCAGGACTTCCTTAAATCAAAGGGTGAGCTTGATTTTCTTGGTCATAAAGATTAATAATGCTGGTAATTGAAGGATCCATTTATTGACAACTTCCAACATGATGATCTTCTTTGGTTTTTATAAGAATTCCATGGAACCTTCATATTATGTGTATCTGTATTAAGAAATGACCTGTACAGGTCACCATGAATATATCAGGAAATATGACAGATGTGTAAGGTAAAAATAATCTCAGTCAGGAACATTCAGCACAGAACATGAATTCTTTAGTGGTGCTGGTGGCAAGGGGAGCAAAAATGGGAGGAGGAACTGTTCAATGAGTCAGATGTGTTAAGTAGATTGGCTCTGAATAAGTTTTATGAAGAGGTTGAGTCCCTATAGCAACAAATCACAGAGTGGAAATAATTTATCCATATTGTGGCCAAACAATTGCACTGAATTATGTTCCTGTAGCAACAGGTGACACCCCCCCCGAATTCTGCTATCTCAGTGTCACCTCTGTAGTATACTATACTGATTGGGGTGGGGAGGATACTATAGCAAGGTCTCCCTCAGCCATGTAATTCCCCTTGTATGTTAGCCCCATAAACATATGACAGTGGCAGGCACAATTTAAGGCTGCTCCAGAACCTCTGTAGTTTGTATCTTCTGAGCAGGGGAAAGCAAGCTGCTTCCTCTAGGTCTTATTCATACATCAGGCATAATATATTTCTATTTACCCTTTTAAATCGTGGATGTCAAACATAGGCCCATAGGCTGGACCTAACCTGTGGAGCCTCTCTATCCACCCTGTTGGGCTACTGTCAGGCCACCAGAAATTAGGAAGCTTGTCCTGCTACAGAATTCTTTCAATAATGCCACTTTGTTGGCTTCTGTCCATTGATACTTACTCAACTTTGCTCAGACCGTGGAAGAAAATGGTATGAACAGAAGAGTAGCAGAAGAATAGGATTCTTGATAGTTTGGCTCCTGAAAACTGATTATATTGCGCTTTAATTAAAGCAGTTCTCAGAACCACCCTAATTAAAGCGCCCGCAGCGTCACGTGTTCAGTGTCCCATGCTTCAAAATGGTGGTGGAGGCCCTTTAACTAAAGCTTATTCGATGAGCTTTAGTTAAAGTGCCCCCACAGCCATTTTGAAACATAGGGATGCAGAGCAGAGGCATGTTGCACGTATAGGTGCCCTTGGATCCTAAGCCTGAGATCCTAAGCTGTCCTATGCAACTCACCCTGCCCTTGTTCATGCTCAGAAAGGGTCTGACTTCAGTTACTTATTCAATGTTGGGATCTTATTCCACTGGGAAGGTGTGTAACTCTGTAAGCCCTTGCAATGTTAATCTCAGGGGGGTGGGGACCATGACTAGTGACTGTTGGATGGAGGTAGGGGAGGAAGAAACCTTCCTACCTTTTAGCTCCATAGTTATAACTATGAGTCTACCTAAATTGTGGGGGGATTTACTAATTTTTGTGGGTTGATTGTGGCATAAAGTTCCAATTCCACAGTCATTTTGTGGCGGCCTCACCCCTAGGTGCAGATTGGTGGAAAGGCCTGGCTCCCTGGTACTTATTGGTGGAGAGGCCCCAGGCAGGAAAGGGATGAGGGGGCAGCTGTCATCTTGATTGCTGGCTGCTCTTTGTGTGGCCCTGTCTCTTGGCACTGATTGGCTGAGATGCCTGGTTGGGGGGAGGTCAAGGGGGCAGGCAGTATCTTGTCTGATACCCTTTGTGCCGCCCCACCAGCTGGGGCTTTCCTCTCCTAACAGTGAGGACTACAGTTCCCACTGGGGAGCCAGTACTTATTTATTTATTTGTGTTGATTTTGCACACAATCCTGGATTTCATGATTTCTGCAAAACTGTGAATTAAATAGGTCCCTAGTTTATAACACCCCCCTGCAAAGAGCTGAAGACCCAGACCCTAGGATCCTCTGCCCCTCCAATGGGATTTAAACTGACTTTTTCCAAGCTAAGATCTCTAACCATGACACTGTGGGCTAGGCAAGATTAAGAGCACTCCCACCCCCCCTTTGAAGATTAGCTACTGGGTAGCCAAGAGGTGAACATATGTGAGGCTAAAGCAAGCTCAGAAGGACCCTGGTTTTGTGTCACATTGAGACTCTGTCCTTGAAGAGGTGTGGTCTTAGGTTCTGAACTGAGTTTTCACCTTTAATAATCACTCAATAAAAGTCAACAGTGGGGGCAAAAGTGGTAGTGTCAAGATATTTAAAAATGAGTTTCCACTGGAGTAATAAAAATCAACATTTTTTAGCATAGAGTTTCAAGACAGTTCTCACACAAGGGAAAGACAAATGCCGTAGGAAGAAGTAAATGAAAAAAGGGAGTAAAACAAGGTGATCCAGTACCAGAAGATTTGTTATCAGTGTTGACAGTCATTTGCAACAAATTTATGCATGGGTGGTTTGGCTAGGTCAAAGAATATGAATATGATGGCCCTTGTAATGTTTCCAAGGCCTGAATCCCTTTTAATACAGTAGCCAACATGACATAATTTGTCCAGGGGGAAGTCTTTTCAGACATTAACACCTCACAAAGCAATTGAACAAAATGTTCTGTGTTGAGGGAAAGGTGGTGTGTACTAAGACCTCTCTGGTTCCCTGCTCTTTGACCTAGTCAGTCCAAAGCTTGTCCATCAAATCTGTATTAGGCAGTCCTGTTGGGGTTTGCTAAAGGATATATCACTTATACCATAAATGGAGAAGACCCAAAAACCACCCAAAAATAAGCAACTGGCATTACATAGGTCAAATTTGTTGTTTCTACAGGTTACGGTGAGAGTGTATTTCTGCCTTTGGTCAACGATCTAACCTACATCCTAGCTTAGATCTGTTGAAGAATTCATTTTCAAGGCAAAAGTTTCCAGGATTTCTATTTTGGGATGTTTCAAAGAGTCAGTGTTTCCAAGACTTACTTAATATCAAACACAATATCAGCCTTGAATAATTGTATAATCATTGATTTTAGAAATCCAATAAACTTCAATGACATTTTTTTAAAGCTACCTTTGGAGAATTGTTCCTATGAATTACTTTTGACAATTCTGTTTGTTTTAGTCTATTTGAGTGCAAGCTTGCAAACCAAATAGAGTCTAAATTAATATTTAAGCAACTAGAGCTAGTCGTCCGAGGGACTAGATAGTTCCTGAGGGACTGTTATCTCACAATGTAGCAGAGATGTCATCATGGATTATACTTACCTCTATCAAAGTACTTGAGATGTTCTGAGAGGTTAAATATCAGGTTTATACCTGAGGAAAGGATATCTTGATCTACAAGCACATTCTAATATCCTGTCAGATCAAATCCATATCAAACTTCCTTTCTGTGAAAAGCTGAAATATGAACCTTGGTGTTTACCAATATTGCATTTTTTCAATACAGAAGTATTGTACCCATTACCCTTATCTTTTGAAGACGTTTTTCTTTACTGCAGGGGCTGTGCAGTCATCCAGGATCTACATGGCATAAGTCTTATTGCCCTTGCCACTCTTGTTTCTCCTGAGACACATCATGGAATTGTGTCCTGTATGTGTATGCATGCATGTATATTTATGTATGTATATACATGCATATAAACAGAGAAACACATCAGCTTATTATGAACTTGCACACACACACAAACAGAAATTCTACATACAACTTCAGAAGGCCCTGGATGGCTTTATTTTTGTTATAGGCAGATGGTGGTGTTTTTTGATCGGCCACATTTATTTTTCCACCAGGGAGAGCCTAATATGAAAATTTCTTTCCAAAGGAAGACTGCCCATTTAATTATAACTGCATAAAGAGGAACTTCTAACAGAATAGCATTTAGCAGTTCTTTGAAAGCCACATTGTGCTTAGAGACAGTCCCTTTCAAGTTGGGGTTTTTTGTGAATCGTGGGTGAAAGATGCTATATAAATACAAAGTATTTCCATTTGTAATATGGAGGGGCAGCTCCTTTTGTAAGGCCCTGTGTTTCATGCTCCATTATAACTTTTTGTCTTGGAAAATTGATTTGGCTTGGAAAGACAATGTTTTGAAAGCAGTGGAGTTGTTGCCATTCCACACCTTAAGAAGTTCAGCTCCTTGAAGGAGTAGGCCTACCTCCTATGGAACTTGATATGCAGAAAATACTAAGTAGGTAGACATGCAACCTTTTATAAAAGTTACGGTGCTCTTGCTTCTGGGAGGTAGGTACATATTCCCTTGTTATCAGATGCATAAATTGAGACACAGCTGTTAAAGGATTTGCTCAAATAAAAAAAAAAAGGCAGAGTTTGGAAATGAACTCGGGAGTCCCACCAGCCAATGCCTTGTTTAATCTCACAATTAGAACAAGACCCACCCCCCACACACTTGTTTATAATTGTATCTATTGAGATAAATAATCAGTCGCCAAAAAAGTGGTGGAACTGCTGAGAAATGTTTTATTATACATAACATATTGGAAGTTTGCAAAATAGCATTTTGCTGCTTGTTAAACACTCTCTGAATTCACTCCATTGTCATGAAAAGAGGCATTAAGTTTTAATCATTTGGGACCCCATTAATAGCTATGTGCCGTTATAAAGTTCTTTTACCTTTGCTTAGGTAATAAGGAAAGGTAATATAAGGTAAGGTAGTAAGAGAGTTTTGCACAGCTTGGAAAAAAAATAGTTTAAAATTTATAATGGTAGTTCAGTTAGAAAAATGGATTATTAAAATATGTAAGTGACAATAC